GTTTGGTAAAACAAGCTGTAAAATGACGGCTTCATCAAATGAAAAGTTTCCTCCATGTAAAGTCGGTGATACAGTCCGAGTAAAAACCTGACGTGGACAGAGGTAGGGGCGACTTTCCCAATGTGTTAATGTTAATGGTTGTACTCGAATGTAACGGCAAGGGGTTATACAAATTCCGAAACAAATACGGCACTATAACAGAACTATTTTCAAGAAATTAGTTCACTGTGTGTGACTCAAAATTTTTAGATATTGAAATGGTTTCACCCGAAAAGAAATCACTACGCCAAATAGCAATGCACAATCGACCTCTGGTGGGCAAGGCGATAAAATATGCCACTGCAAAACCAAATGTGGCAACAAAAAAATGCCTCTGCAAAGCTGCTGGTATTTTGTGCAACTCAAAATATCACTAAAGTTTAAGTTGTTCTAATGAATAGTTTGTGTTACTTTATAAAAGTGTGATTTATAATTATAATAACATTCTTTAAATTATAATACGCAACTACTTATTATCTGTTGTTAAAAAAATGTTCCTGATTTTTCCTATTATTTTAAAAATTGTACTCCTAATAATTAATTATTATAATGTGATTTATAAGAATAAAAAAACTCTCTACTTTTTTTTTTTATTGAATGTTTTTTAATATCAAAAAAAGCTCTGCTGATAGCATGCCAGCTACAACTATGTACAGCCAATCTCTGTGAGATAAAACTAAGACTATTGCAGACGACAATTGCAACGGGTCGACGTTTGACCACTATCTCACCTGGTGGTAGGCGATGATGCGGTCTACGATGGAGCACGTCGTCCCATAAGCAACCTTTTCACTCGGGCCTTGAAAACTCCTACGTTGTACCCTTCAGGAAATACAGACTCTTGCAAAGAATTCCACTCTTTAGCAGTACGCACAAGGAAGCTTGAAGCGAAGCGCTTCGTGCGTGTGGGCGGAACATCTACCATGAATCGGTGACGCTTCGCTAATTGTCTTGTGGTACGATGATGGAAAGGACTAGGGGGAATCAGGTTGTGCAATTCAAATTGACGCTGTGAGTCACACTCGCTAGTAGACCTGCAGTACATTAGCAGCACCTGGCGCTCACAACCTGCAGAGGCGCGTGGCTCGCTATGCTCTCCACCCTGCGCCGCTGCTGCAGATCATGTGAGTTATGACTGTGACGCGGGGCGGAAGGCTTGGCGGGACACGCATCTAAGTTTTATCCAACATGGATTGTCTGGACCTACTCCCAAAGCGTCTCCTGCCATCTCTCGAAAATGATAGAGTATTTCGAAAATAGGTTTTGAAAGTTTTCGAGTAACCCTCGAAATTGATCGAGGACGCTTGATAGTCTTCGAGGACGCTCGATAGATTTCGAGGACCCTCGAAACTGGTCGAGTACGCTCGATCACTTTCGAGGGTCCTCGAAATTGATCCTCGAAATTGATCGAGGACGCTCGATTGTTTTCGAGGACACCCGAAATTGATCGAGGTCGTTCGATAGATTTCGAGGACCCTCGAAACTGATCGAGGACGCTCGATAGTTTTCGAGGACGCTCGATTGTTTTCGAGGACCCTTGAAAATGATCGAGGACGCTCGAAAGTGATCGAGGACGCTCGATTGTTTTCGAGGACGCTCGATAGATTTCGAGGACCCTCAAAAGTGATCGAGGACCCTCGAAAGTGATCGAGGACGCTCGATTGTTTTCGAGGACCCTCGAAACTGATCGAGGACGCTCGATTGTTTTCGAGGACGCTCGATTGTTTTCGAGGACCCTCGAAACTGATCGAGGACGCTCGATTGTTTTCGAAGACGCTCGAAACTGATCGAGGACGCTCGATTGTTTTCGAGGACGCTCGATTGTTTTCGAGGACCCTCGATTGTTTTCGAGGACCCTCGATTGTTTTCGAGGACCCTCGATTGTTTTCGAGGACGCTCGATTGTTTTCGAGGACGCTCAATTGTCTTCGAGGACGCTCGATTGTTTTCGAGGACCCTCGAAATTGATCGAGTACGCTCGATTGTTTTCGAGGACGCTCGATAGATTTCGAGGACGCTCGAAAGTGATCGAGGACCCTCGAAAGTGATCGAGGACGCTCGATTGTTTTCGAGGACCCTCCAAACTGATCGAGGACGCTCGATTGTTTTCAAGGACGCTCGATAGATTTCGAGGACCCTCGAAAGTGATCGAGGACCCTCAAAAGTGATCGAGGACCCTCGAAAGTGATCGAGGACGCTCGATTGTTTTCGAGCCTCGAAATTGATCGAGGACGCTCGAAAGTGATCGAGGACCCTCGAAAGTGATCGAGGACGCTCGATAGTTTTCGAGGATGCCCGATGATTTTCGAGGACGCTGGATAGATTTCGAGGACGCTCGATTGTTTTTGAGCACGCTCGATAGATTTCGAGGACGCTGAATAGATTTCGAATAACTCTCGAACTGATCGAGGCCGCTTGATGTTTTACGAGTAACTCTCGAAACTGATGAGGACGCTCTATGGTTTTCGAGTAACTCTCGACAGTGAACGAGGACGCTCGATATTTTTCGAGTAACTCTCGAGAGTGATCGAGGACGCTCGATGGTTTTCGAAGACGTACGATAGACTTCAAATTTAGGGCGCCATTGACCGGTATAAGGCACCAAAACGTAAGCTCGCCATCGTATTATGAGCGCCATCAACCAGGAGTAGTAGCTTATACTTATTTTAACAGTCCTACCTTTTACAGAAACAGATTAAGGATTAACTGTAAACAATTTGGGGCATAATTGGGCACATTGGCGAAGTGACGGGCATTAGCGACCCCGCGGGCAACCATCATCCCGAGTGCTCCAGGGAGAAGTCACCGTTCCTTACTCTCCGGCTTGCCTTAATTGACTGACTGGAGCCGAGTTCTAGCCGGAATGACATCGGATAGACCTAGTTTTATCCAACAGGGAATGGCTGGACCTAATACGGTGTTTGACAACATTCAAAATACTCTACAAAATATAGATATTTTACGAGACAATAGTCTAAAGAATACCACTTCTACTTTATTTTAACAAAATAATGTATATTATTTACATATTTCACAAAATAAAAATGAAGTTTTTTTAAATAATTTCACGTGAATCGAAACGCTCTGTGATTGGTGGTAACACTCGTGACGTCACACGCCAGCGAACAGGTGTTTTGCGCTATTGATTGTCGTTGGAGTTTACTGTGTTTTGGCTGTAATTTCTATTTGTAAACTATTTTCGAAGAATTACTTGTTACTACTTGCTACTACGGACATTGTTTATAACTAGTGTTATTAATATTAGTTTACCATACTAAAAATGGACGCAAATTTTGTGCAAGCCGATAGCAGCAACTTACCCAGGATAGACGCTTTAATGGTTGCACTTTTTTTTAAGAATAACGCTGATTATTATTCATCTGAACTAAAAAATGTGAAAACAGCAGTGTAAGTACCAAAGTGGAATCTATTTACATATTATTTACCCTTGTAAACTTATATGTTATATGTTGTAGAAAAAAATTCACGCGGCATATTTTAATCATTTGTTTTCATATATAATAAATGCTATTGTTGCATTATAATACCTTTATGTCGTTATATAATATTATTCCCGTATTAATTGATTTTAATAAGCCTTAATTTTTAGGTTAGGAACTTAGAGTCACATCTCTTATGTGGTTTTTGCTTTTGTTTACAGGTCTGCAAGGGAATCTTATGGTGACGACGCCATTGGCTATGTGCAAATCAAACGGGAGCAAGGAGTTTGCACAATGAAATGCAAAATATGCCCAGAGCATAAAGTTCGGTCAAAGGCATATAATGTAACAATGATTATCAATGAAGAAGATAGTGAAGTCATTAGCTGCCAGTGCCTTGACTGTGCTGCTTCAGCTGGGGGATGCAAGCATTCAGTTGCTTTCCTGATGTGGGTCCATCGTCGCACTGAGGAACCTGCATGTACTTCAGTAGAATGCTACTGGAAAAAACCTATTCTATCGCGAGTAGGGACCACTATGAAATATATCACTGTTGAGCAGATGTGTGAGAAAGCAGTGCCTCATAGACCAAGTTCATCTGAACTATATAATGAATTCATTTCTGTGGCCAAATCTAGAAATATAACCAAATGTGAATTACTTAAATATCAAAATGATTTTAAACATAAAGATGTCATGCAGTATTCATTACACTGTTTTTTGATGAATCAATCAGAGGAAACTAGTGCTGATGTTGATAAATTTGTTGAAGTGATGAAGACAAATATCACAGAGGCTGAAATAAGTGCCATAGAAGAAGCAACGAGAAATCAAGATAAAAGCAGTTTGTGGTATGAGATGCGTTATGGCCGTATCACAGCTTCAAAAGCATATCAAGTGAGTGTTTGCCGGACACCAGAAGGGTCATTGATTGCTACTGTGATGGGTGCAAAAATACCAGATACGCTAGCAATGAAAAGAGGAAGAACTTTAGAAAAGGCAGTCCGAAAGAAAGTTGCTTCCATATTGAACAAAAAAATAAGTATATGTGGACTTTACGTATGTAATGAGAGTCCCATGATTGCAGCATCTCCTGATGGCCTAACAAAGGATGCTGTTATTGAAATAAAATGCCCTACTCAGGCTAAAACCAAAGAGAACTATATAAAAAATGGAGTAATTACAGAAAAATTTAATGCACAGGTGCAATTACAAATGCATGCAACTAGCATGAAAAAATGCTATTTCTGTGTTGCAGATAGCAAATTTGAAGAGAACCAAAAGGTGGATATTCTTTTAGTGCATTATGATAGTGCTTATACCCATAATTTACTGCAAAAGCTGGTTACTTTTTGGAAAAATAATGTTTATCCAGTTTTGTACCGTAGCACTAGGGTGACAGATTAATAAATAAAAATGTTTTCTGTGCACATTGTTTTATTTATTTTTCAATAGGTATTTACATTTATTTATAAAACTTACAAATACATACACTACACTAGAAGTCCCCATGCCTTTAGTTTTTGCTACATTCATTGCTCTCAGTGAAAAGTGTGTTATGTAACATATCTATCCCAAGATGAAAGAATTTAACTAACTTTTATTTAATTTAACTAAATATGTGTACATAATAATATATAATAATACCTATGCACTGATTGTGATTTGACTTGTTTGATTAATTGTCTTGGCAAGCACTTTGAGCTGTGGTTAGTTGTTTTGGAGCCTATTCAATGCAAACAAACAACTTTCCTTCTTAAAGATAACATTCATACATCACATCCTTATCAGAGGTAGACAGAGCCAAAAGGCCACATTTAGTAAGATATTCTTTCTTAATTTTTTCTTTACTTAGTATTTCTAGGAAGATATAATATTAATATACAAAACATTACTTAATAAGAGAGTCTTGCAAATTTATTAAAGCACATGCAATAATAATTATATGGTCAATTATACGAAGTATGTTGGTGTTTATCACTGTATGTTGTTTTAGCATGTGGAATTCTCTCAAGCGCCTTATTACTCTTTCCACATGAATTCGCAGGCTTGCAATTATTTTAGTTTGTCGGACTTCAGATTTGGATAACTTTACACCAGCACTTACACTAGGCGGCCGTAATAGTTTAATGCCTTTACTATGAAGTATTTGTTCTAGGTGTTTGAAGCCTCTGTCCGCTAAGATGCAAGTTCCAGGTTGTAATTTATCTAGAAAGTCAGTGTTTTCTACTATTACAACATCACTCGTTCTGCCCCCAAAGCCTTGAGAAACATAGTTGACTAATCCATTAGGAGTGCAGGATATTAAATACTTCACAGTATTTCCCTTCTTGTACTCTGACCATGTCAGAGCCTGGTGTAGAGCCTTAGATGGTTTTTGTATATCAATTTCAAGACAATCAATAATGCAGCTGACATTGTGATAGTTATGTCTAAATGGTATTGGAAGATTTCTCTTTGTTAAGTTACTGTTTAAATTTACAATAAATGGTCTCAAAAAGCTACTCAATATGGGTATGTTATTTAAAAATATTTTACTGGCATATGATAGTGACATTCCAAAATTATCCTCTAATTCAGAAAATGTGCTATTTAGTCTAATTTTTTTCAAGCATAGCAAAATGTGTTCTACTTTTATATTTGTGTGTTTGTGCATTAACTGAATAATAAAATAACAATGTTCAGTAATACCAACATACATTAATGGTTTTTTTTTAATTAAATGTAGGGTATTTTTGAGGCACTGCAGTTGATGAACAGTGGAATTAGTATCCGTAGTATAACTATCAGAATCTGTAATCTTTGATGATGTAGGTACAAAAGGTGAAGAATAACCACTCTTAATGCTTGAAATTTCACTATCTGATTTATCACGTTCTAAGGCAACAACTTCTTTAGCTGCTTTTACAACTCCTGACTGTAACCGTTGAAGACTGCATTGTTCATATTTAAAAGGTGAAGTGTAACTCGATGTTGTGGACACTTTGAATGGTGATGTCGAAATACTTTTATTTTTGTTTCTAGTTTGTATAGCTTTGCTCCTATAATGCACATTTGATTTCATTGACACTTGGACAGACTTTTCTACAGCAATTATAGGATCTGTACACATTCCTTTATCTGCAGTCCTTGGTAATACTGAAAATACAAACATCCAACATTTATTATACAATCTTACTGATTCAATTTGTAATGGAAAATAAAATTTAGTTGTACCATACCTTCAGGCTCAATAACGTTTTGTGGCACATAATTGTCTTCTTGAAGCATTTCGGCATGGGTTTTAGTGGCACTTAAACTTTGTAAGCATTCTGTGACGATATCATTTTTTTGTCTCTTTATGGGCAGGTCTCGAGAAGGTCCACCAGACAACCGTCTTTTGCGATCCTCTTGACAATCGAATTTTGTTGGCACAGCTTCATCTGCCAAAAGCATCTTCTGATTGAAGCCCATTTTGTACATCATGTAGTTCTTTATGGCTGTTTCCAACTGAAATTCACATTGATATCCATTAATAAATAAAGTAAACAAGTGAAGTATTCATGTTGTAAAAAGTTATTTAGACTAAGTTTGACAAGACTAATGAGTAGCTCAGGAAACAAAAATAACATTAGAAAATAGATAGGTACTATCTATTAAGTATAAAGTTAAGTGCTACTTACATTAAAGTGATCTTCACACATAAAAATATTTGTACGCATCGAGACACTGTTTGGCTCTCTTCGCGCCAACCGTAACCACAATTTACGTTTTTTGGGATTCGTAGGAACAGATAAAAATACTTTTTCCGGTGTTTTTATTGATGTATTTGTACATTGTGGCACTACACACCATTTATAAGACATAATTTCTAATAAATACTGAAATATGATTTAATAACAAGCAATACCTTTGAATATTCAAGCAAGATGGATTGTTGTACTAGCGTGTGACGTCACACGCGTCACGTGACTCGAGCCATTACAATGAAATCGTTTCTGCCGCGCTTTTTACAATTTAAATTGTAACTTCGATGTTTATCCTAAATACTGTAAATTTTGCAGTAAGATTAATTTTGTACGTATATTATATACTAAAACAACCATTTAAAACGATTTCCAAAAATTGTCAAATACCGTATTGTAGTCGGCATGATGAAGGCTAGATAGACCTAGTTTTACCCAAAAACAATCGGCTCGTCCTAGGTTTAACCAAGAGTAAGTGGCTACACCTAGTTCTAACCGGCTAAAACTAGGTGTAGCCGCACTTCGGGTATTAGTCGTAACATAAATATAAAAATTAAACTTGTTTCCAGTTGTCACGCCATAACTTGAGAGTGGCTGGACCGATTGGGCTGATTTATTTTGTTGTGTTTGTTATTATCAGGAGAAGGTTCTTATGAAAGAAAAAAAAATCCTGAAAATCTTATGGAAATGGGAGAAAACGAGATTGCGCATACGAAGTCGCGGGCAGAAGCTATATAACATAACATCACGCCTTTTATCCCGAAGGGGTAGGCATAGGTGCACATTATGCCACTGTACAATGTAACACCCACTTTTCACTATTTATGTTACGAGTCCCATGTAATAGGGGGTGAGCCTATTGCCTATTGCTAAGAAGCTATATAGAGGTAGTTAACCAATAAAAATCCTATTTGCACTAAGTTTTTCGTAGTTTTGTTTTTACTCTATTCTGACCTTAATCTGTTTTAGATTAAAGGAAGCGATATGTTTTTGTTTTTCCTGTGTTTAGGCTGGGTGGGGTGTAGCGTGTTGACTTTGAATTTATTTGGTTCGGTTGAAGGCCACTGAGCATGTTTTTTTTATAGGTTAAGAGGTGTATGAGCAAAGTAAAGTATTTATTTATTTATACTTTATTGCACACACAGAGAAAAATTGTAAACATTGCAATAGTGATTTGAGTAAAATGGGCGGTCTAATCACACGCGGCGATTTCTTCCAGACAACCTTTGGATGGAATTTTTGAAAATAATCTGGGAATGGGTGGTAAATGCACAATAAAAGAAAACCAAAATAGAAGTCCAAACCTAAGACCAAATTATGACGTCTTAAAGCCAATGTGGTTCCGCTGAGGGAACGAGATCTCGCTAGATGACTTGTATAGCTCTGTTTCTTTCCCTTAATGGAACCATTCTGAGTTTAGGATGTCATAACCCCGCAGTCCATTTACATCTGCTAACTGACATATACTTCTTTTACCACGCCAATCGCAAAATAATTTGTGATCACTTTACCGAAGTCTTCATCACCCACATCACATATACACATCAACAGCCTATAAATGCCCACTGCTGAGCAGAGCCTCTTCTCACACGGAGAAGGTTTGAGCATTAATCACCACGCTTGCTCGATGCGGGTTGGCGATTACAAACTTATAATTAGAAATTATAAGCTCAGGTTTCCACGCGATGTTTTCCTTCACCGTTTGTCAGTGGTGTCTGAATAATCTAAGAAAGTACATATGATTCGGAAAAAGTCACATTGGTACTTGCCGTTGGTAGTTTTCGAACCTGCACCCTTATGCATGAGAAGCGGGCGTCTTAAACCTCCGGGCCACCACGATATTATCATCACCCTACACCTACACACATTTTAACATCTAAAATACCATTCCCAATTCTTCGTAAAAGGCACCTACTTCAGTTTAACTTTATACTTCCACAAAATTACATATTGATTACATTTCCTCCTACTTTCGAAGATAGGACCCAAAACTTATGGGTTCCTTAGACGTTGGAAGGATGTGCCAACAATCCATCAAGTATTAAAGTACTTTTTGAAACGATAAGCTTGTCCAAGATATATTACACTTCGACATAAGTACATGTACTATCTTCACAAAAATTTAAAAATGCACATTTACAGGAAAATAATATGAGAAAAGTGGTACTCTATGGTTTAGCTGATTATACGGAGGAATCTGAAAGTGAATTATATAATAGGCTGATTGAACTGTTTCGCGACATAACAAATGTTGACTTATCTGGATACATAGAAGATATATATAGAATTGGAAGGAAAAACACAAAAAATCGTCCATTAGTTATAGAATTGATGAGTAAGAGGATGACAAGATATATAATAAATAATAGCCAATATTTCCAAGGTACTGGACTATATATCTCAGAGTTCTTAGATAAAAATGTGCAAAAAGAAAGAGCACAACTACGAGAAGAAATGTATAAGGCCCGTAAAAATGGTCTACATGCCGTGATAAAATACAACAAGCTATACATTGAAGGAAAACAAGTAAGCATAAAAGCAAACAATGATACAAACAATACTACGAGTGCAGCATGTCTAGAAAAAACAAATACTTCCATTACAAATGGTAATTCTTGCCAATTTGACACTACACAGGGGACAAATAATTGTGGGACTGATATGTTTCGAAAGTAAAAGCAAAGCATTTAAAATATTATTTCAGAATATCCAAAGCCTCAACAATAAGCAGGATGTCCTAGAATCTTTTCTCGACCAAAATCCCAGTTATAAAGTTCTATGTATCTCTGAAACATGGTTAACACAAGACAAAATGGAAATAATTAAATTCAACGGATATACATTTGGATCAGCATACTGTCGCAGTACCCGAGTCGGCGGTGGCGTGAGTATACTGCTACAAGATAACATGGAATATAAACGTAGGGATGATATTACAGAAATGTCCATAGAATATGTTATAGAGTTATGCGCTGTTGAATTGTTAAAGGAGAATTTATTAATAATATGTATGTATTGGAATAGAAGGGAAGAGGAATTATTTTACCAACAATTGCAGTCTATTTTGAAATATGTAGCCAATAAGTACCCTAAGCAAAATATAATTATAGGCGGAGATTTTAATGTAAATGTCTTAAATAGAAACGCCAAAGTCAACTACCTTCTAAACTTAATGTTAGAGTATAAATTCACACAACATATTGAATCTGCAACTAGAGTAACAGATCTTACTGCCACGTGTTTGGACCTCATATTCACAAACTTCTACGACTACAGTATGTACACAACAGTAGATGAACATGGGTTCTCAGACCATAACAGCACCACCCTACACATTGACCTACCGCACCAAACGAAACAGTCTGCAGACTGGTTTGCATGGAAAAGACTATACACATACACAAACATACAAGCATTCAAAATGGAATTGCAAAACATAAATTGGAATAATGTAATCACACAACAACAGAATATTAATGAAAATTATATGGCTTTTAATAATACATTATTAAAAATATTAAATAAATGTATACCACTACGCAAAATAAAATTAAATCAATCATACAAAAGGCATTGGCTAACAACAGGAATAAAAAACTCGTGTAAAAATAAGAGACAACTAAAAATAATAACAACTAAGACAAAAAATCCAATTCTACTTAAATACTATAAAAGCTATGAAAAAATACTAAAAAAATGTATAACTACCTCAAAAAAACTACATTACAAAAACACGATTATGAGATCCGACAATAAAGTTAAGTCAATGTGGAGATTAATAAACGAACGTACAAACAAAAAAATTACAAAAGAAAAACGCAACTTAATTATTGAAAAAGAAAATATATTAACGTCAAATCCCAAAGAAGTTTCTAATATATTTAATCAATTCTTTGCATCAATCGGAAAAATACAAACAATTAACAATGCAACCAACAATTTTCAATCTCTTCTCCTCTCAGAAAGCATAGAAAACAGTATATTCCTAACTCCTGTGAACGCGTATGAAGTAAACCGAATAATAAAAAATTTGAAAAATAAAAAAAGTCACGGAATACATGAACTCCCTCCCATATTATTTAAACAATGTGCGGACGAACTGACGCTTCCATTCTTTAAACTATTAAATCAATCCTTTGAAGAAGGCTGTTTTCCTGATTTATTAAAAACAGCTTTAGTAAAACCCATCCATAAGAAAAATAAAAAATCTGACCCCAACAACTACCGCCCTATAGCTCTTTTACCCACAGCTTCAAAAATATTCGAAAGAGCTATGTGCGATCGGGTATATTCCTATTGCGAAAAATATAAAATATTTAATGACCACCAAAATGGTTTTCGCAAAAACAAATCGACGGTTCTAGCTGTCTACAAATATATTCAGGAAGCCTTGAACATAATTAATGACAAAAAATACGCTGTAGGACTACTGATAGATATGACAAAGGCCTACGACAGAGTTCAGTTTAACATATTATTACAAAAATTATATAATATCGGAATTCGTGGAAAGTGCTATGATTGGTTCGGATCTTATTTAAAAAATCGAGAACAATTAGTAGAAATTGAATATTATAATAACTCAACAAGCGAAATCGAACGAATTCGATCTGACATCGAGCCAATAAACGCTTCAATCCCGCAAGGAAGTGTAATTGGATGCTTCCTATTCCTAATATATATAAATAATTTACCAACATATATCCACGATCCATGTGTCCTATTTGCTGACGACGTGTCTATATTGACTTCTTGTGAAACAAACACCAATGTAAGCGAAAAACTAGGCTCCATTCTTAACATTACTACGAAGTGGATGGCAGAACACAACTTGGAAATAAACCTCAGCAAAACTAAATTAATTGCATTCCACCCTCATCAGAAGTCTTCTATTAACATTAATTTTACCTATAACAATTCACAATTAGAAGTCGTTAATAATTTTACCCTACTCGGCATAGATATAGACACGAACATAAATTGGAAAAGTCATGTACAAAAAGTGAAGGCAAAAATATCAAAGTACTCATACGCACTCCGAG